TGTAATTTCATTAAATAAAAAAATAAGCATCATTGCAAGTAGGAATAAGAAGGTTCATCCTTGCACACATTAGTACGTATTGTTTAATTCTCGCATTTCTTTCCCTCGCGCCGTTCTTTTCCTACGTTCGGCGAGAATCGAAATCTCGCCACGAGCCGTAGGCCGTAGGTGTTTCATCGTTCTCCTGACGGGCAGAATTGTCATGTGGCAACAGGGTAACAAAACAATCGATACGATCCACCACGTGTTGCGAGGTTACATTTACCGACTCCCTCTGTTTTATCGATGCTCGTGGTAACGCAGGCCAAAGTGACTGACAAATACCATAAACGCCTCTATCGGAGAATCCTTGAACTATACCACTGTTTATTTCTGTGTCTGGACGCGTCGAATCGTAAATTCCAACTTCTGCGTTCCAGAAGTGATACAGTGACAAAAATTGGATTTCTACGATAGTGTGATAGTGGTGTGCTGGGTGGTCTGGTCTGCGTTTGACGAGAAAACCATTAAATCATGTGATATTCAACAAAATGTGACTTGTGCAGCCATCTTGTGTTTTCATCGGCGCCTGTCACAATCGCACACTTTCTAAAATTCTAATTCTTTCAATTAGAATGTGTTTATTCGTGTTTATACGGACCAGACCACCCTGTAGGGAAGTATACCCGTGAGTTCTATACCCGTGAAAAGTTCATTTGTGCAATTGTTCAGACAGAAGTTGGAATTTACGAAATCGATTGTCTCTCTTGTGCATCGCGTATACATACACGGTTCTCGTTGATTGTGTGAGTGTACGGACACAGCGCACGGACCACGGAGTCTCCCCCCTTAATGGTCATGTAATATTTTGTGATCTGTCCGGCCAACTCCGACTGCTGACCACACTTAGGCAAGGTGCTTCCTCCTTAAAGACCTCGACACCTGTACACACGTCTTTAAAAGGGTCGACTCTATAAGGAAACCATTGGAACAACCGTATACGGGTCAACACGAAATCGTCAAACGCATCAACAACAAGCTGTTCCTCATCAAAATCAAAGGGGCAGAAAAGGCAGTCTCGGTAGACATGCTCAAACCTGCCTACATCGACGTCACCGACAACCAGCATCCCGTAGACCAGCCTCTGGTAGACGCCGACACTACCACTAAAAAGCAAGTTTCGTTCCATTCTCTTCCAGATCAAGTCACTGGGAGGGGAGTGGATGTGGCGTCCCAGCCACGGCATTCGACACCGCAAGTTATCAGACACACTACCTTGATAACGCAGCACCTCCAGTCGCATTTACCATCCACCACGCGGCGTGCGAGTCCACCGAGCAGACCGACACGCCACCAGTGATGCCAGGACGTGGGATTTTCTCCCACATGGGAGCCTTCGTGCGCATGCGCATGCTGACGTCACAGCTCGACGGCGGTTGTTTCCATGGATGTATCTATGTGCAACAGTAGGTACGCGTAAGGGGCCCTTCCCAGTTGTTTCCCGCGTTTTTCGTTAAAGTGAAGGTGAGTCGCGTAATGTTATATAATATATTGAATTGTAGTGCAATATTAGTGTATTACAGTGACAGAAACCAGAAGATGGATTACCAGCAGCCTAGTTCGAGTGGATTGGCGGATAAGAAGAGAAGTAACAAAGGGAAAGTATTCCAATTATCTTGGCTAAAGAATAATATTTTCAAAGACTGGTTAAAATCTGATAATAATAAAAAAGCTTTCTGCACGGCTTGCAATAAAGTCTTGGCATGCGGAAAATCAGAACTTATTAGACATTCGCGGACTCAATTACATATTAAAAATACAAGCAAAAGCTGTGATATCACACCATCTGTTTTATTACCAAAAGTTGATAGTAATTCTGATTTGGACCATGTTAATAAAGTCAAAACAGCCGAAATAAAGTTAGCTGCGTTTTACGCGGAGCACAATATAGCTTTTCAAACAATTAATCACATGGTCCCTTTATTAAAGGAAACCTGTTCAGATCCGCAGGTGGTTAAGGATCTAAAATTGTCACGAACTAAATGTACGCAGATAATAAAAAATGTAATAGGCAAACGCGAAAGCGATAAGCTTATTACAGAATTAAAAATTCAGAAATTTTCAATATTAATTGATGAAAGCACGACTATATGTTTTATATATAATGTTCTTGTTTGAATACTAGTAAGGTTTTCTGCAGTTTTTCTTACTCTCGCAACAAATGTTTGTATTCATGTAATAAATCGGCTGCAGATGTACAAAATAATAAAAAAATATATATTCATTTATTTCCATGTAAATATGTTATTTCTTTTAAAAATGTCCTCTTCCTGTAATTTCTACCGTATTTCAATTGTCACGGGGGTCTAACGATACCCCATATTTGAGTGAAGTATATACGTTACTGAGGATTAGGTAGTGCGCATGCGTGGGAAAAATCCCACGTCCTGGCATCACTGCACGCCACCTGAGAAAGCAGACGCTTACACCACGCATGGACTACTGCGCTTCTTCTCGTCCGACGACAGTACCGAACAGTCCATATGTGTAGCGCTCGGTTGAAAACCACTCGAGTTACCACGCGCATCTCACTTGTTAATCATTTACTTGTTGTGAACTCTTTTGTTAATAAATAAGGATGAAAACTACATCCGCTTGAATCCGTTCAATTATAATTAGAATACATAAATTCTAAAGACGTAGTGACAAGTGCGGTCGGATCAACGCACTGGCGGTGTTTATTTCACTACACGATCACTAACACTGTCCACTTGTCAGAATCATATTATTTACTTTAAATAGTTTTGTTATTTATTGCGTTACTCCTACGTTAATTTATTGTTATAGAGAAATGTGTTGTTCCTACGTTAAGAAAAATTGGTGGCCCGAAAGGGGCAGATTGTTTTTAACGTAATAAGTGTTCGAAATTTCCCACCGTCACAGCCACGCAGGCCTCAGCACGCCTCAGTATGTTGGTCTGCACCCGCTGCAGCATCGATATGTTTATGGTGGCTACGGCTGCTTGTAATCTTGCCACGACAGGCTCCACCGTCTGCACCGAATAACGATACACCTCATTCTGAAATGATCATTGTAAAACAGAAATAAAACATAAGTATCAAAACCTATCTGAATGTTAAGTTATAATTAATAACAGTAATGAAATTACATTCAGGTATCCCCACAAGAAAAAATTCAACGGAGTCATATCCGGGGATCGTGGGGGCCACGCGACAGGACCACCGCGGCCAATACACCTGTCTTGGAAGGTGTTGTCCAAGTATGCGCGGACATTTGTGGCAAAATGGGCAGGAGCACCGACGTGTTGATAGATCATGTTCTCCCGGATGTCTAGTGGAATATCTTCCAAGAGATCTGGGAGAACATGTTCTAAAAACATTTTATACGCGGAGCCGTTCAATCTATCAGGTAGAATGTACGGCCCCACGATAAAATTGCCGCAAATTCCCGCCCATACCTTAACCGACCAGCGGACTTGTGCTACGCGTGACCGAAACGCTAGCGGATTCTCGTCGCTCCACACATGCATATTGTGGGCATTGAAACACCCTTCTCTCGTGAAGAGTGCTTCATCCGTCCACAATATGAATTTGCAGAACGACGGATTCCTAGCTACTTTTTCCAACAGCCACCTTGAATAATGAAGCCGTTGGTCGTAATCTTGGGGGTGCAAATTTTGCACCCGTACATACTTGTACGGGTGCAATACGCGGTCCTGTAGAATTCGGTGCACCGTCATGCGGGAAACACTAAAACAAAATGCACAAACACCCATTATTAAATAACACTCCTTGTTCTTAATTAATTTATACCGTGACTTACCCTAGGCGGCTGCTCACGTCGCGTACACTGACTGTGGCATCTTCATCGATAATATTCAGAACGTTGTCCGTAGTCACTCGACTTCTACTGGAACGAGGTCGGCCGATGTCGCTTCCGTGCGGTAATAAAGTACCATTTGTGAACGCACGTGATGCAACCTGCCGAAATGTACATTCCGTTGGCACTGGCAGATTTGGATACTGCCGTGCAAACTCCCGCACAGCAGCCGTCGCATTGCCATCGCACCGCGCATACCACCAAAACATACTATAGTATTCTCGCGGACCGTACATGATTGTGGCTCGATTGCGAAGAGACTGACGGAGTTTTCCGAAGGAGTTCCTCCACCCCCAAGTAGTTTCCCATCGTTACATTGTGAGTTAACTCCCACCACGACAAGATTTAGGTAAAACGAAACCAGCGGTTCTAGGATAACACGTGCTTTGCAGAAGTGCAAGGAAAGAACCGTCGCGCAGTTTCACCAAAGCGCGTAGCCCGTTAATTTATTGCCAGGGTACCTACTGCTTCGAGACAGAAAACAGACATCACGTACATCGGCTTGAGAATGTCTGAAATAAAGTGGATTGTTTTCCACGAGGGGCAAGGAAAAAAGTTCACCGACACGTGTGAGTTGACGCCGCTTGGCCCTGACCGACCACCCTTGTAGAGGCCGGAGCGAACTTTTCGGTGATTTATGGTACAATTTCTTCGGCATCGTAGCAACCGTGAACTCACAACAGAATTAATCGCCAATTTTATTACAACTCTGTGAAATTGTAGTTCTCATGAAAATATTTCATACGTATTTTTTTTTTAGTATTCCGTCAAATATCTAGGAAATTATTAGAAATATAAAAACCGTACAATTTGCAATATTGTATTTGTTTTCATATTGAATTCCAAAATAATCCCTTTCTTTAAACAATCTTTCGTCGACTCCTGACAGTGCGCGGTGCAGGTAAATACCTAGTTTAGTTCAGTTTAGTACATTTCTCCCGGGAGGAGGGAGTTTCGATACTCCCCCCCAAGGCCCATCTGTGACGTAAAGTCGGTAAATATCACACAGCCCAGCGATAGGGCTCCGGTGGGCATTACCCGGGGATACTGTTTCCCCCGGTTTTCCAACCCGACCAACTTTTTTAGGCCCGGGCCACATGGAGACAGGGGAAGTACTCACGCGGGGGGCGGAGAATCATTAGGATCGTCCCATCCCTACCTATTGGATTTAGCTAAGGGAGTTTGAACGTCGGGGCAACCGATCCTTCATCTCCATAAGTGAGTACCAGCTCACTCTTTGCTTCATCCACAGACCGAGTCTGTACCAGGGGTGGTATCGTCGTGCTTGTGTACTTCCATCATCGAGAGAAAGCTGTATCGCCTAGTTCAACCCCGTATCTGTTGCCTACCTATGTCCCGATTAATTCAGGAACCCCCCCCCCTCCTCTGGTTACCCATTGTCAAAATTACCACCCCCCAAACAAGGACAAGGAGGGAGTCCCGGGACTCCAATAGTGATACATGGGGAGGCCGTTCTAGCCGACCTCAAGGAGAGACGTGGTCGGGTTCGTCGATCACCTCCCCCGGGAGCCGCGATGGACCATAAATGAATCCATCGCCAATTGAATTTAATCTAAATGAAAGCTGGGTTCTGAGTTTAAGGTAAATACCTAACCCGTACAAGTATGTACGGGTGCAAAATTTGCACCCACCCACCCCCCGGATTACGACCAACGACTTCAGAATTCAAGCTGGCTGTTGGAAGAAGTAGCTAGGAATCCGGCGTTTTGCAAATCCATATTGTGGACGGATGAAGCACTCTTCACGAGGGAACGATGTTTCAATACCCACAATATGCATGTGTGGAGCGACGAGAATCCGTTAGCGCTTCGGCCACGCGCAGCACAAGTCCGCTGGTCGGTTAATGTATGGGCGGGAATTTGCGGCAATTTTATCGTGGGGCCGTACATTCTACCAGATAGATTGAACGGCTCCGCGTATAAAGTGTTTTTAAAACATGTTCTTCCGGATCTCTTGGAAGATATTCCACTAAATATCCGGGATAACATGATTTATCAACACGACGGTGCTCCGGCCCATTTTGCCACAAATGGGCGCTCGTACCTGGACAATACCTTCCGGGACAGGTGGATCGGCTGCGGCGGTCCTGTTGCGTGGCCACCACGGTCACCGGATCTGAATCCGTTGGACTTCTTTTTCTGGGGCTACCTGAAGGTAATTTTATTATTGCTATTACTTGTTACTTATTTTTCTTAATGATATTCTGTTTTTACTTACGTTTTGTATTTGTCGTACGACAATCATTTTAGAATGAGGTGTACCGTCAGCCGGTGGAATCTGCGGAGGATATTGTTGCACGCATCCACGGTGCACTAGTTAACATCACACCAGAGATGCTGGAACGCGTGCAACAAAATATTATTCGCCGCGCTGAAACATGCGTATCCATTGACGGTGGCCACGTCGAACATTTATTAAGTTGATACAATAAATCGGTCCCTTTCGGGGCCACCAATGTTGACAACGTAGGAACAACAAGTTCAGTGAAAAGTGAATTAAATGATCGTGTCGAGTAATCGGGGTTAGTGCAGTGCAGTGAAGTGAATACGTATTCCATGGATTAACCCGGCGGCACGTGACGTCGGCTGGTGTCGCATACCTGCGATCAGCTGTGACATGGATTCTAACCTGCCATAAACCATTTCGTCCGTCGATGCCCAGGCTCGGTACACTGACCTACTGACGCAGGTTTCTACGCTGCAGGTGAATTTCCGTAAGGGTGAGTTCTATTCAGTTCATTGGTCATTATTGTTTTATTACTTTCACCGAACTACAATCACTTCTCGTTTATTCTTTGTTACATTACCTTTTCGTTCACACGTTATTTGAAAAGGAAATTTACAAATTCGTAAAAAGGATTTTATAAAAATGTAAATGTGCATTCGTCTTTTTACGTTAAACATAATTTGCCTACATTTATGTTTCATTCATTAATCTCTTTAAATAACAAACGACAAATGATAAAAAGTATGATTTTATTTGTTACGTCTTGTTTATTTGCTATTATTATACGCGGTTTCCTGCGATGCATGGTGACCTACTTGTTCGGAGCATCGTAGTACAAGCGTAGCGCGTAGCCACCGCTAGCGCGGGAACTCGGCTGGCAAACTCGCGCTCTGATTGGTCGCGGTTTTTCGTTAATATCTCGTAAACGAAGCCCCAGTTTAAATTTTCGCTAAGGAAAAAGTTGTTCCAATTCACCCCCCGAGTGCCACATTTCCGGGTCGGAGGACATTTTTGGGACACCCTGTATAGACTTAACATGAAATGAATTTTTAAAATTAAATCACCGAAAAATAGCTCCAAAGAATGGGTCATTTTTGATTCTGTTGAATTGCCGTATAGACCATTCCATAGTTGCAACTTGGCTATAAATTTTAAAACAAAATATTTTACTCTAAGTTAATTAGGAGTCGTGATAATTTGTTTTTCTTGGAAAAATCACTGTAACGTCAATTGTTAACATTAAGAGTTGAATTTTAGACGAACTCCGAGAAAAGAGTTACATTATCTGTTCCTTAATTTTTGGAATAATCCATTCAGTGATTATTCCATCTTATAAAGATCACAAAGATCCAGTATGCAAACGGCGGGCACGCGGTGGCAGCAGATTGGGGAGAGACCGCCGCGCGACGATTTTGTCACGTAAAGCGGAACGATTTATTATAAAGAAAATGTCGAAGTCTAAACAGGACTTCGATTTCTTTATTCACACAATTACAATATTACACTGGTTTACAATATAGTATACTTATACTCCGTAGACGTATAGTAGAAGTGTCAAGCTTGCCGGTTGATTCAGAACTGTCTGTCGATGGTGGTTCTCGCCCTTTTATACTGTTTTTGGGTGAAGAGCCGTGTGCAGGATCGTCGGGTCGTGTGCAGTAGATGTCTCATGGTTTTGTTGTCTGGAGATATCGGGTCGTGTGCAGTAGATGTCTCATGGTTTTGTTGTCTGGAGATATCGGGTGAGGCATATTGTGTGCAAAAGGAAGTCTCGCCCATGGTGTATGGTAGACGGTTGACCTAGCCTCGTGTCCTGATGAGTTCGATGTCCAGATACGGATGTGGGAAGGATATCGCTGTTGACCGTTGGACTGGTGGTGACGTAGTGATGACGAAGTGAGGTGTGTATTATCGTCACAATTTCGTGGTGCCTGAAATTGATCTCGCCCGTTTTGCCTAGCAGACCCGGAAAAATTCAGGTTATCTGTGCAACAAATTAACGTAGAGCAGTTTTTTGTTAATTTGGCTTATCTCGACGATTTATTAACAAATAGCATGACCAATTCTGTAAACAATTAGTTAAAACCCAAAATTTTTACTTCTTTGATTTTTTATGTTTTAAATTGATTCATTTTGTTTATTAATTATAAGTTATAAAACAGAGACAAATCTGGAAACTGCACATTTTTCAAATTGAAAGAACAAAACTTGTGTTATACGACTTACATGTGTAAGTAATATGTATATT